AGACAGAGATCACAAGTAGGCAGAGAGGCAGACAGAGAGAGAGGAAGGGAAGCAGGCGCCCTGCTGAGCAGAGAGCCTGATGTGGGGCTCAATCCCAGGACCCTGAGATCATGACCTGAGCCAAAGGCAGAGGCTTTAACCCGCTGAGCCACCCAGGCACCCGGTATCTGTGCTATCTTAACTAAGATTATATTATCCTGGTTATTTCTTGAAGAAATTTGGTGAGAATTCAGTCCATCACAGATTGCACTGAAACTTCAGATAGTCCAAATGGTTTTCTTTCCTCATTGCATTTCCACTTGATCTCAGAAATCTTCAAAATGGTAGGAGTATTTCCTGTATCTGTGTATTCGTCTCAAACAATATATAAAGGTAAATGGTTAAGTAAAATCACCTTTTTATAAACATTTAAATGAATACCTCTAAACACATTATATATCCTAGAGACTCTTGCCATACCAGTCAGCCAGAATATAAAGAATCCATTGTTGTTTGAATATGTACAATTTTAAAGGCAATTCTTTGTCTTTAAAATACACATTTCTATCATTCTGTTAATGGCAGTTATGCTTCGTTACATTATCTTGGTTCGGGTATATTAACTACATCATGAAAATATATTTTTTTGAAGGTGGAGAGGAGGGAACAGACAGAGGGAGATGGAGAGAGAATCTTAAGCACGCTCCACACCCAGCGGGAGCCTGACATGGGGCTGTTTCTCATGAGCCTGAGATCATGACCTGAGCTGAAATCACGATCTGGACAATTAACCATCGGAGCCATTCAGGTGCCCCTCATGAGAATATTTTTTAAACATACTTAATGCTCAAGATTTGATGGAGTATGATTTTAGACATCAGGTGGTTTGTTTAGAGAGAATATGCTGCTCAACAGATCTCTAGAAGAGTGGAATAACGGAGAGTGAGAAAGCTAAGAGCTTGATAATAGAAGGAAAAATAATGTTTTACCTAGTGATTATTGCGTGAATAATGTGGCATTTCGAGACTTTTTAGGGAATACTTTTAGGTTTTTTTTTTTCCTCATAGGATTTTTTTTTTATCACTATGTCAGTTGACATGGATACCATATTGTAGTTGAAGACCTTCCTAAAATCAAAATTATTGGAAAAGTTCATGTAATTACAATCTCTTCCCTCTTTTCTCTGCCTAACTTAAAAAAAAACAAAAAACAAAAAAACAAAAACTTTTTTAGAGTGGTTTTAGGTTCACAGCAAAATAAAGTATAAAATTCCCATATACTCTCTGTCCCTGATACACACAGTCTTCCACATCTGCATGGGACATTTGTTACCATTCATGAACCTATAATGACACATCATTATTACCCAAAGTCCATAGCTTACATTAGTGTTCACTCTTGGTGTTGTGTGTTCCATGGGTTTTGACAAAAGTAGAATGATATGTACCCACTGCTCCAAAAATCCTCTGTGCTCCATCTATTTTTCCTCTCTTCTGCAATCCCTCACAACAACTGAACTTTTTACTGTCTCTATCATTTGCCTTTTCCAGAATATTATATAGTTGGAATCATGTAGTATATAATCTTTGCACATTGGCTTTTGTCACTTAGTAATTTGCATTTAAGTTTACTCCATGTCTTTTTGTGGCTTGAAGGCTCATTTCTTTATCATTTTTAAACTTTTAAAAATTTACATTGAATTTAATTAAACTGAAAAAGGACAGTTCTTGGGGCGCCTGGGTGGCTCAGTCGTTTAAGTGCCTGCCTTCGGCTCAGATCATGATCTCAGGGTTCTGGGATCAAGCCCAGCCTCAGCTCCCTGCTCAGCAGAGAGTCTGCTTCTCCTTCACTCTCTCCCTCCGTGTTCTCTCTCTCTGCCTCTCAAATAAAAATAAATAAATAAATCTTTAAAAAAAAATAGTTCATCCATTTCTTCCCCTCTACCCCCACCCCTACTTTTGCAGCGACCAATCTGTTCTCTTGTATCTATGAGCTTGGTGGGTTTCTTAATTTTGTTCTTGTTTGTTTTTTAGATCCCACATATAAGAGAGATCATACAGTATTTATCTTCCTTTTTCTAACTTATTTCACTTAGCGTATTGTCCGATATCCATCTATGTTGTTGCAAATGGCAAGATTTCATTCTTTTTTATGACTGAGTAATATTCGATTGTATAAATATACCACATCATCTTTATCTATTCATCTACCAGTGTGATGTGGTTGTGTCCATATCTTGGCTATTGTAAGTAATGATGCAAGAACATGGGGACGCATATATCTTTTCGAATTAGTGGTTTTGTTTTCTTTGGATAAATACCCAGAAGGAATTGTTGGGTCATATGATGGTTTAATCCTTAATTTTTTGAGGAAACTCCATAGTGGTCACACTGACTTACATTCCCACAATACTATACAAGGGTTTCCTTTTCTCCACATTCTCACCAACTCTTGTTATTTCTTTTGTGTTTTTGATAATAATCATTCTAAAGAGCATGAAGTGATATCTCATTGTAGTTTTCATTTTTTTCCTGATAATTAGTGAGGTTGAGCATCTTCATATGTCTCTTGGCCATTCTGTATGTCTTTTTTGGAAATATGTCCATTCAGATCTTCTGCCCATTTTTAGTCTGATTGTTTGTTTGTTTGCTATTGAGTTGAGTTCTTTATATATTTTGATTATTAGTCCCTTATTGGATACATCATGATTTGCAATTATTTTCTCCCATTCAGTAAGTTGCCTTTTCATTTTATTGATGGTTTCCTTTGCTGTGCAAAAGCTTTTCAGTTTGATGTAGGCCTAATTGTTTATTTTTGCTTTAGCTACTTTTGCTTTTGGTATCAGATTTCAAAAAAAACCATTGCCAAGACCTATTTTAAAGAGCTGGCCACCTTTGTTTTCTTCTAGGAGTTTTATGCTTTTAGGTCTTATTTGAAGTCTTTAATCCATTTGGAATTAATTTTTGTGTCCAGTTTACTTCTTTTGTATATGGCTGTCCAATTTTCCCAGCATTCTTTCTTTTTTTTTTTAATTTTTTTAAATTTTTGTTTTTGAGACAGAGAGAATGTGAGTGAGTGGGAAGGAGGAGCAGAGGAGAGGGAGAGAGAATCTTTATTTATTTATTTATTTGACAGAGAGATCACAAGTAGGCAGAGATGCAGGCAGAGAGAGAGAGAGGAGGAAGCAGGCTTCTTGCCGAGCAGAGAGCCTGATGTGGGACTCGACCTTAGGACCCTGAGATCATGACCTGAGCCGAAGGCAGAGGCTTTAACCCACTGAGCCACCCAGGCGCCCCTTCCCAGCATTCTTTCTTTCTTTTTTTTTTTTTAAATATTTTATTTATTTATTTGACAGATCATAAGTAGGCTGAGAGGCAGGCAGAGAGAGAGGAAAGGAAGCAGGCTCCCTGCTGGGCAGAGAGCCCGATGCGGGGCTTGATCCCAGGACCCCAGGATCATGACCTGAGCTGAAGGCAGAGGCTTTAACCCACTGAGCCACCCAGGCGCCCCCCAGCATTATTTCTTGAAGAGACTATCTTTTCCCCATGGTATATTCTTGACTCCTTTGTCATATATTAATTAACCATAACATGCATAGATTTATTTTGGGGCTCTGTATTCTGCCCCATTAATCCAAATGTCTCTTTTTATGTCAGTATCATACTGTTTTAATTACTGTAGCTTTTGAAGATTCTTCCATGTCTTTTCATGGCTTGATGGCTCTTTTGTTTTTTAGCCCTAAATAATAATCCATTGTTTAGATATACCACAGTTTATCCATTCATCTACTGAAGAACATCTTGGTTGCTCCCAAGTTTTGGCAATTATGAATAAAGCTTTTATAAACATCTGTGTGGGGGTGCCTATGTGGCTAAATTGGTCAAGCTTCTGCCTTCAGCTCAGGTCATGATCCCGGGGTCTTGGGGTCAAGTTCCGCATCAGGCTCCCTGCTCAGGGGGGATCTGCTTCTTCCTCTGCCTGCCACTCCCCTTGCTTGTGCACCACCCACCCCCTACTGAACAAATAAATAAAATTTTTAAAAAAATATTTAAAAAACTAAGCATCTGTGTGCAGTTTTTTATATAAGGATAGTTTTCAGTTCCTTTGGGTAAATACCAAGGAGTGTGATTGCTGGATCATATGGCAAAAGCATGTTTAGTTTTGTAAGAAATTGCCCTACTGTCCTGGCATTCCTGCCAGCAGTGAGTAAGAGTTCCTGTTGTTCCACATTCTCATCAGCATTTGGGGTTGCCAGTGTTCTGGATTTCGGCCATTCTAATAGATGCGTAGTAGTGTTTCATTGTTTTAATTTGCAGTTCGCTAATGATATATCATGTTGAACATCTTTTCATATGATTATTTGTCATCTGTATATCTTATTTTATAAGGTATCTGTTCAGGTCTTTGGTTTGTTGTTTTTTTTTCTTTGTTCAAAAACCTTATTTACTATAAAGACAAAACACCAAAATAGGTATAAATAATATAAAATTGGTTCAGTTGGGTAAAATTTTTAGTTAAAATATCTTGATATATTTAAAATAACAAAGGACACATTTAATTTGGCCCTTTCTTGAATCAGGTTGTTCATTTTCTTATTGAATTTTTAAAAAAAATTTTGTGTGTATTTTGGATAACAGCCCTTCTTCAGTTATGTGTATTTTTTGCAAATATTTCCTCTCAGTGTGTGGTTTGCCTTCTCATTGTCTTTTGCAGAGCACAAGATTTTAATTTTAATGAAGTTCACTTTATCATTTCTTTTTTTCACAGATCGTGCCTTTGGTCTTGAATCTAAAAAGTCATCAACATACCCAAAGTCATCTAGGTTTTTTCAAGTGTTATCTTCTAGAAGTTTTATAGTTTTGTGATTTACATTTAAGTCTGTGATCGATTTTGAGTTAATTTTTGTGAAGGGTATAAGTCTATGACTACATTAATTTATTTGCATGTCAATGTCTAGTTGTTCTAGTACCATTTGTTGAAAAGACTGTCTTTGCTCTAAAGATCAGTTGACTGTACTTATGTGGATCTATTTCTGGGTTGTCTGTTCTGTTCCATTGATCTGTTTGTCTGTTCTTTTACCAGTACCACAGTGTTGATTGCTATAGCTTTATAGTAAGTTTTGAAGTCAGGTGATGTCATTCTTCCAATTTTGTTCTTCTTCAATATTGAGTTGGCTGTTCTTAGTCTTTTACCTGAGTTAGACAGTATCCATAAAATAACTTTTTGGAGTTTTTATTGGGATTGCACAGAATCTATAGATCCAATCTATTGTCCTATAGATTAAATTGGAAAGTACTTCTTGACAATATTGAGTCTTCCTATCCATGGACATGGGATATCTCTCAATTTATTTAATTCTTTGATTTCATTCTTCATTTTTGTAGTTTTACTCATTTAGATTTTGTGCATATTTTGTTAGATTTATAGGTAAGCATTTCATTTTGGGGGATTTGCTAATATAAATGGAAATGTTTTAATTCAAATTCCACTTGTTCATCACTTGTATCTGCTTAACTTTTTAAGTGATTAATGGATGCCTGGGAATTGATGTTCATATATATTCAGAAATGTTTTGCCACCTGAGACCTGTGAGAAGGTAAGCTTTGTGGTCCATTGTGCAATTAGTATGGGGAGGGATTCTGTTATGTATTTGACTAATTTTAATTTATTATTATTTTTCAAATTCTAAAATTATGGTAGTGGAGGGCAAGAACAAGAAGAGAAAAAGAAAATTCATGTGACCATCCAGGTCCACCAAGAGTTCATTCAGGGCAGCAGGTGATAGAATACCATCTTCCAGAATAGTTCAGTGTGAAAACATTAAGAGGAAAAAAGGTAAATTTGTCCTTAGCAAGTTTCTGTTATGTTGCCCTCAAGTCTATTGCTATCGTGTAGAAAACCACTTTACATTTAAATTGTATAGTAAGGTCATTTGACTACTGTATTTGCTATTTATGATATATAATCTAAATCCTACTTCAAGAAAGGATTTAAGGAGTTCAGCTATAAAATTTGATTGGCATTTTATAATAGGCTTATATAGGATAATTGCAGGAGCCCTGTAGAGAAAAAGATTATTGTGTTAAAAAGCAGAACTGATTAAACAATTACTCAGACATCAAATTTAGTTCTGGCTTCTTGGTAGCCAAGCCAAAAAAGGGAAAAGTCGAGTGCATTTGGCTCCAAATATATAACTAAATACAACATTACATAAAAATGACATGTGAAGTTTTAACCTTCTAAAATATATTTGGCAAAAATTATTACTTTTAAATAACTATCCTGTTCAAGTAAATAGTCACTGACAAAAGGGAGTTATTTTGGGGAAACAGAGTTTTTCCACCAACTTGTATATGACAAGGATTCTCAAAGAAAGGGAGACTTTCTCTGATTGAATTTATGACACAGTTCTTAGGACATGGAGGGAAGAGGGGGAGAGGCAGGGAAACAAAGAATCTGAGATAGAGTGCGCCCTGAAAAACTGTTCTGCAGATGTGTAGACCCTCTTCATGTTGTGATATCCTAATACTGTTCAACCACAGAAAACCAGGCTAATGTATTGTTATTTTCATTCTCTAATATGAGGAGAGCTCATAGGAGCCTGGAGGAATGCTTGCCTCCTCACTCTGTGTCATTGACAAGCAGTGAATAGTAGTGGTTGCATAATAGAGCCATTCTTCCAGCTTGTTTTATTCTAGCCTTCAGAAAACTGTATTTTAATTGTAATGCATAAAATACCAGTTTTGTAACAATAGTTACCCTTGGCACACACATTATCCAGTGATATTTTCTGTTACTTGTCTTCTCTTTTTTTAATGTTAGTCATGGCCCCATAAGCTTATTTTACAGCACTGTGGATCATGAAAACTAATTGCAGTGCAAATTCTTAGTTGTTAATTAGAAATCAAGTCATATGCTTTAAGTATGAAATAGATACCAGTAGTGACCTTCTGTTACTTCATCTGTAAATTCCCTATCTCCTAAAGTGTTAATGGCTCTCCTTTTGATTTAACTCAAGGCAATTTTGCTCTAATCAGTAGGATAACTTTCTTTTTTTTTTTTTTTTTTGAAAAATCCATGTGAGTTAACAAATTTCTTCTTTATGTAGTCTGTGTTCTACAAAAACTAGAAGTAAATTGTGCATGTATTTTTAAATGTACTTGAGATACTTATATTTAAATCCTCTAGTGTAAAAGTCAGCAAGGTATAGTCCATGGTCAGATGGCCCCACTGCCTGTTTATTTAAGTACAGTTTTGTTTGACCACAGCCACACTCATTCATGTGCTTTATTGTGGCTGCTTTCCCACTACAGCAGCAAAGTAGAATAGTTGTAACACAGGCCATGGGGCCCACAAAGCCTAAAATGTTGACTCTATGACCCTTTTTTAGAAAAAGTTTGCTGATACCTTTTCTAGTGATTCGTCTTTCAAAAATTTAATCCTTTCCTAATGTCTTATAAATCCAGATTTCCATGTGCTAAATTTGCTCAATTTCAAGTAACACAATATTGCTTTTGATATAATTTTCCTTGATTCTGTTAAGTTTCCTTTCATTAAATACCTACTAGACACTCATTTAACCTACATTAACAATAATATTTGTGCCATACCCTCCGCTGTGCAGCTATAAGGTACCCGCTGAGTTCTCTTATCTCTACGGTTCAGTGGATTTGCCTCAAAGCCCCACTTTACCAGCTGTCAGTGCCCAAGCAGAGCAGGAACATGAAGTCTGGTTCATTCTAGCAAGACATGGGACTCTGCCAGTGGGTACCTTTGGTCCAACTCCTCATTGGCCTTGCTGACCCTTCTTGGAACTTGTGCTGCAGTCCAAGACTTCCTACCCAGTCCTCCTGCCTTTCCTCTTTCCCTGTCAGACCTACATTGTGGTCTGAAAGATCTCCCCACCTTCTCCCTTTCCCGGTTCTCTCACACATCTAAGTGTGTCTTGACCTCTGCTTTTCAGCGGTTGCCAACCAACATAGCCAACCTCAGCTTGTATGTGTAATATGGTTACTGCCTTCAAGGGCCCATGGTAGCTGAGGTGTGTGAGTGGATAGAGGAAGAGAGAAACAAATGGAAACATCATTTTTACTTTATGGTATTGTTGCAAATATGGTGGGTAAGCAGTTTCTGTTTTTAGGGTTTAGAAGAGGGAAAGAACTCTAGTGAGGATACAAAAGGGAAGATTGTGGGGGAAGTGGGCACCTTGTCTCCTGGTGTATAGTACTTACACAGTAATTGTTCAGTGAGTGGGAACAGTTTGCGTAGGTGGCACGGGGGCACTGGGAGCGTGTTTAGGGCTGAGAAATCATGCAGACATGAGGGAGGAATGAGAAAGATTACTTTGGCCTAAAGTTGTCTAAGAGTGGTAGGAAATCACTGTAGAAAGACAGATTGGAAATGATTACAGAGGATTGGAAATACCAGACTAAGAAGTGGATTTTATTTGCCGGAGTTGAAACACCAGCAAAGGTGTTATAGTAGGGAATACTGTGGTAGTGGGATTTTAGGAAAATTAACCTGTATAGAAAATTGGAAAAGACACTAGGGGGTAGATGAATTGTACAGTTTAAACTTTTTGGTGTTAGTGGGCGGCAGAGAAATGGAAAGAAGGAATGGTTTCCGGGGACATTGTAAAGTGAGAAGAAACAACCAATTTCCAGAGTACCCAAAATTGGGCAGTGGTACTGGCTGTGGATTTGTACTCTGGCAACACAGAGAAAAGGGGTACCGCAGTGACAGAAATAAGATAATCTTGGGTTGAACTGCTTCCTTGCTTTCTGTACCCAGGCTGAGATTAGAAGGAAAACAGTGACCTCTACTCCTTTTTTTTTTTTTTTAAAGATTTTATTTATTTATTTGACACAGAAAGAGAGATCACAAGTAGGCAGAGAGACAGACAGAGAGAGGGGAAAGCAGGCTCCCCGCTGAGCAGAGAACCTGATGTGGGGCTCGATCCCAGGACCCTGAGACCATGACCTGAGCCGAAGGCAGAGGCTTAACCCACTGAGCCGCCCAGGCGCCCCTCTACTCCTTTTTTTAGACACATAAAATTTGAGAGGCTGGCAGGATAGCTTAAGTGTCTGTGAGACATTTGGGAATGAGAAATGAAGCTCAAACGGGGAATCAGTGGAGCTGTCACTGTTTGCTTACATGGCCTGATATTGAGGCCATCAGTACCTGGCTTATTGCTTACTTTATTGTTTAGACTCCTGTTGGAGTTCTTCATGCACAGCCTTGTATATTGACTTTGTAAAAGGTTTGAATATGTGCCCAAAAAAAAAGAAAAAAAAGAGGTAATCTGAAAATATGGTTGGTCTCCAGATTGCCAGAAAATCTCTGTAAATGATCCTGTAATCTCTATCATTTTAAAAATATAATAGCCTTCCATTCACTCAATAATGTTTGAGACACACTTCTACTCAGTATTGTATGAGGTCATATATGAGACAAAAGGGTGCCTCATATTTAGACTTCTTTATAGACTGTTATAGAATGGAAAAGGTAAAATTATAATGTTCAAAAATAGATGTCACAGAAGTGCTTCCCAAAAATTGCAAATAATTTCATCTGGATTTAAAACTGTACTTTAAAAAATACTCCTAGGTATGTTTTGCCAAAATTTAAGAATGAGAGTGTCGAGTTACCCAACTAGGATCATTTTAGCATGCCAGCTATGAGGAGGTAAACTAAGGGGCATCTTGTATCTCTTTTTAAGCATTGTACTCAAAATATTTTTCACTAGGAAAAAAGATTACACTATGGATATTGAGGGTTTTTTATCTGAAGAAAAAAAGATACAGGAAATTGTCACCATCTGCAATAAAGCCACTTAACATTTCAAAGTAGTGTTTGAGGGGAAGTTTTATTATTATTAATTAATATTATTTTCTCATATTGCATCAGAGAAATTTATAACCACTGTTTTTAGAAACCATGTGGCACTCTCTGCTTGTTAAAACTCTAATATATTTCTTATTTATTTGTTAAATTCTTTTTAATTGAAGTATAATTGACATACAGTACCCTATTAGTTTCAAGTATACATCATAATGATTCAATATTTTTATACATTATTAACTGATATCCATGATAAGTTTAGTTACCATCTGTCACCATGCAAAGTTTTTACAATATTATGGAGTGTATTCCCTATGCTATACATATATCCCCATAACTTAACCACAGTTTTTATTTCTGTCTTGTTTCTATGGTAGTTTCCATATGTAATAATTTTAATGTTATTGTCACTTTATATATCGGGGATCTGTGTGTGTGTCTGTGTGTGTGTCAGTGCCTTGGTGAATAATAAATCCACATCTTTTTAAAAGGTTATGTCTAGAGAAGATATTTCCACACTGGTTTCTTTCCTCAAGAACTTTATCAGGAGCTGAAGCCGTCAATGCCTTGAGGCCATTCTACTTTGCAGTACATCCAGATTTCTTTGGACAGCACCCCAGAGAAAGGGTAAACATTTATTTATTTATTTATTTAACCTTTAGTCCCCATTTCATAACCTGAAGTTTTGCTAATTTTTGACACAATATAATACACAGTTGTAACAAATTTGGATTGTTCTGTTATAGTAATAAAGTTAGTGTTTTGACTTGCTTTGAAAATATACATATTGAAAATTGAAAATCTGATTATTGATGTTTTATGAAATCTGAGAGAATGGAAAATCCATACATTGGGCTCTGCTCCCAGTTCCTGGCACAGAGCTCCTGATACTCTTGTAACTGCCTAAGTGAGAAGAGCACTAGAAGCATCTCTTGTTCTGCTCTTTGGTCTTTGGCCCCATCCCTGACACCTGACTCCTAAAGGCCTTATAAATCCCTATTTGATAGGAGCACCAGGAGCACCTTTTGTTCCAGTGTGGTGACCCTGGGTGGCTCGTACATGGGAGCTGGTCACCAGAAGGACCAAGGCATGATTAGAAGCTTGGAATTTTCAGCCCCAACCGTCAACCTCCAGAGAGGAGAAAAGGGCTGGAAATAGACATAATAATTGATCATGCCTACATGAGGAATCCTCCATAAAATTCCAGTAGTATGGGGTTCAGACAGCTTCCAGGTGAGCAAACATATCTACCCTGGAGGGTAGTACTCCCAAACTCCATGGGGACAAAAGCTTCTGCACTTGGGACCCTGTGTCTCTCTTCAGCTGATTGTTTATCTGTGTCCTTTATTATATCATGTAATATGGTAAACATGAGTTTTTCACTGAGTTCTGTGAGCTGCTCTAGTGAATTAATAGAATCTAAGGAGGGGGTTGCTGCAAATTGCTGGTTGGTCAAAAACACAAGTGATAAAAGGTGTGACAGACATCTGAATTGTGTATATGGGAGTGTGGTGGCAGAGGGAGAGGACGGTCTTGGGGAACTGAGCCCTTAACTTGTGGGATCTGATGCTGTCTCTGGATATATAATGTCAGAATTGAGTTAAATTGTAGGACTTCCAGCTGGTGTCAAAGAGAATTGCTTATTGTGGGGAAAAACCTCCACTCATTTGGTGACCAGACATGTCGGAAGTCAAGTATTTTGTGTGAATATACAGAAGGCACACAGGAGATAGACTGGGTTTTTTCCCTATATATGAAGGCTGTCATTTTTTATGAGGGCAATAAAGCTATCATGGAGAGTCTTTAAAGTATTAGTAATGTTTTCTGAACCAGTGTTTGGAGTAAAATTGAGTGTTTGAAAGAAAATTTCAGGCTTCTGTCACCATGGTCAGTCTGTTTTTTAAGGATGGTTACAAGGAAAGTTTTTCAGTGCCCTAAGTGGTTTTCCCTTCTGTTGCATGCTGCTGGTTCTCTTCCCTACAGCCTCACTTACTGTGTGCTCAAGGAATGCAGATGGAGATGAGAAGTAACTTATAATAAACTTAGTGAGGATGGTCAATATTATTTCATTTGTTCTCTTTATTTTCTTTAACATTAACACCTGGTTTAATGTTAAAAGGAATTTAGAACTCTTAAAAATTTAGAACATTTTTATATAGTTTTTTCTACTTGCAGTGGAAAAAAATTTAATTAGTAAAATGAATCAACAGAAAAATATCCATTACTTTGAGGATGTTAATTATTTAAAGTTTTTAAACCCAACATATGTGGAAAAATTATGCCTAGTCGTAGGTGAATGTTTTCCCTCCTCTACCAGTGTATCTTTTGTTTTTTTATTAAAACTACTGTATGCTCCAAAAGGTGAACTCAGCAGGCATGTGTTACTTAAACTCTACATTCCAAAGAAATGCCTGGCTTTGGTATTTGCCCTTGACTTCCTCCTGGGAGAGAAGCTCTGAGCCCTTAGAATATCCTGCCTGATGGGAATCTTTTGTATGTGTGAGCTATCAGGCCATGCCAGATATTTTACGCTAAAAATGTGATTTTTGGTGAATGCCTGTTTTCATATGTTGGGGTCCCTCTGGGTGTGCTGGCGACTATTTGAACAGCTAAGGTCAGTCACATGGCCACTACATGCCTGCTTGATTGAGCCCAGTAAAATGCTGGACACCAGGGCTTGAATGAGCTTCCTTAGTTGGCAACACTTTTCATGCATTGTCACACATTGTTCCTGGGGAATTAAGTGCTAGCTCTACAAATCCACTGGGAGAGAACAACTGGAACCTTGAAACTGGTCTCTCCTGGACTCTATTCTACATGCCTTTTCCTGATTTTAATCTGTATCCCTTTGCTGATTTTAATCTCTATCCTTTTGCTGTAATAAACCATAACCGTGAGTGTAACAGTTTTTCTGATTTCTGTAAATCCCCCTATCAAATTGAACCCGAGAGTGGTCATGGAGAGCTTTAACACAATATGGCTAAAATGTAATTATCCTAGTAAATTAATATAGCTGACCCTTGAATAGTGCAGGGGTTGGGACACTAACCCCCTGCGCATTTGAAAATCTGTATATAACCTTTGACTTCTCCCAGAACTTAAATACTAATAGCCTACTATTGACCAGAAGTCTTACCAACAATATAGTTAACACATATTCTGCATGATATGTGTATTGTATTCTATATTCTTACAGTAAAATAAGGTAGAGAATATAAAATGTTATTAAGAAATCATAATGAATAAAAAAAAAAAACCCATGTATAAGTGGTCCCATGAAGTTCAAACCCATGTTGTTGAAGAGTCAGCTATATTTTCATTTACTCTTTTGACTTGTATTTGAGTGCCTACTTTGTTTGGTTTGGTTTCTGGGTTTTTCCTGGGGGGTCAGTCACGTAGATGTGGTTTGTCCTTTCCTTTCTTGTTTAAGTGTCACATTCATGAGGCTCTCCCAGATTGCCCTATGTGAAACTGTCACCCTGCCTTCTTTCCCAGCACTCTCTGTCCCCATATCCTGTGGTACTGTTTCTGTTTCCCTGCCACATTAGACATACTGTCACCAAAATGCAAGCTCTGGGAAGGCAGTTCACCCTTCCTGGCCCCTCATGTTCATTCAGTCCAGTCTTCTCTGCATTTGTATGGAACACCCTTGTCTCTTTTCTAGAAAAACAGACTGAAAGTGCTATCTAAGCAGCAACAGAATAGGGTCTCAAAGTGAAGCACAGCTACTCTTAATCCTCTTCATTTTAACTCAGTTTTAAAATACAGAAAACATTTCTAGGTTTCAAAAATCAAAACTAAATACAAAGTTTACTCAGAAGTCTCACTCCTATCCCCATTTCTTTTACCCCATTCGTATAACTTCTGGAGATAACCATTTTTATTGGTTTCTGGGTGGTTCTGCATATTTCTTTTTGGTAAACATAGAAACTTGTAGCAAAACAGAATTACAAAGATTTAGTCTTAACACTAACAGGAAAGGTACCTCAGCAGCCCACTGAACTATGGTAGCTAAGAACAGCATATTACAATCAGTTAAACAGACAAAAATAAACTGATTGTTCCTAATTTCAGATCATACAGTGTATCTGAGAAGAAACCTACAGTGATAGGAAACATGGTTACTATTCATGCCATTCTCTAGAGCTATTCCTTCACTAAAGGATGTTTCTTCTTTTCACTTAACAACCTTGGAAATAACTCCATGTCAGTTCCTAGATATCTATACCACATTCTTTTTTCCCTTTTCTTTTTGGTTGTATAGTATTCCATTGAATGAATGTACCATAATTCAACCAGTCTCAGGATGGTCATTTTAAGAGCTCTTTATAGAGAGAAATGACTTGCAGATATTTTCTGTCAGTAGCTTATTTGTCAGTAAACTGCTTATTGTGTGTGTGTATGTGTGGTTTTTTGTGTGCTTTTTTTTTCTTTTTTTAGTTTTTAGTTTTTTTATGTAAGTGGACTTATCAATCACATATTATCAATCATGTATTAGAGATATTTAATTATAGTTAGGCTTTTTCCACACCAAAGTTATAAAAGAGTTCAACATGTTTTCTTCTAGTACTTAGTTACTTTTTTTCACATCTTAGCCATAAAGAGTTTGTTCTGTTACATGTTGTAAGAATGTGGATCAAATTTTATTCTTCATTGAAGAGCTATGAAATCCCAACATTTTTAATACTAAATTATTTAGTACCCTCCATAACGTGTTTAAAGTTCAGGATATAAATTCTGTTGTTTTCTTGTTCTGTTTTGTGTGTAAATGCTCCTTGGTATTTTTTTTTTTCCAGGAAGTCAATGAAAATTCTCTTAAGAGATTAAGTGTCTACTTAGAAAACCTGCAGAAACCAGGCTTCAGGTCTTTGAAACCAACTCAGCTTACATTTTATGTAAGAGAAACAGAGCAGAATTCCTCTGAAGGCCAGGAACCCTTTAGCACTTCCGGTATGTTTTCTTATTTCTAGTGTTTCCCTTGCAAGCTATGTGATAAATATGTTTATTAAGTCTGCCATTGCCAGAATACCTTTGGATTGAAGCCTTGGTCATAAGTAAATAAATAAATAAATAAATAAATAAGTATGTATGTGTGTGTATATAGATGTGTGTATGTATGTATATAAAATTTGATTGTTTTCTCAGAATTGGATTCTGTTCCTGGCTACCTGTGTTTGAAAAAGCCATTTTTTTTAGTTTAAACTTTTCGTCTGTAAAACTGAATGTTCCTGTTTGTTCACCTCCTATTTCATATTTTAAGTGTTAACCATGTATATAACAATTTACATTTTTTAAAAAGTACAGCCTATATTCCCTTATTTAGCCATCAAAGTACCCCATGAAGTAGGTAGTATTTGCCCAAGTAAATTATGTGCAGGGATTTTCCCAGGACTGGAGATGGAATGTGGGTCTTGAACCCAGCCAGGCCTTTCAACTCCAGCTGTAGGCTCTTTTTAGTCAGTCTTAATAGATAGCCTTCTTTTTGGCCCTTTGTTACTGTTTTAGCCCTGATCCAAAAATATTTAAAATTAAGGGTAGATAAGTAGATACAGGTCTATCATTTCTCTAAATATCTAAATAAAGGGATCATCCTTTTGGTGATCCTTGAGGAAATGACTTTATTTTTAGAATGAACTTTAAAATAATTTAAAGGTTTACCAAGAGCTTTCTCTGAGTTAAGATTAAAACAAGTACAAAATGCGCTATAATTTTTTTCTGAAGCAAACTGTTAGACAACTCAAAATCTGATAGGTTTTTGGAACCTAGAATCTATTTCTAGCTCTGCCAGTGACTAGCTGTGAGAGCTTAACTTCTGGTTCTTCATTATTAAAATGAGAAAGTTTAAGTACTAAAGCATGGAAGAGGTTAAGTACTGTGTTAAGTACTGAAGCACTCACAGTGAAGACCCCTGCCTGTACTTCGGGCTCACAGGGCTCTTGGGTGCTTACATGGAGTAAGGAAGAGCTTGATCTAAAAAGTACTAAAACAGGATCTTTATGTTGAAAACAACTTCCCACCCAGTCTCTCTAGGAATGAGCATTTGATAATACATTTTCTCTGTTTTCTTACTCTCTCATGTTTGTATGTGGGAGTTCAGGAATCAGAAATTCCTTTCCTTGACTGTTCTCCATCTACCTCTGATTTGGGAGTTTTATTAAAAATAGACACTATTCTCATTATCCAAGACAAAAAGTCAACCCATAGCCCTGTTGTGAAGGAACTGCTCTACTGAAGAATGCTTAAATGATAGTAGTAATAATAAGTAATTATGTTTATCACTCTAAATGACATAATTCTATGTGAAATTGTAAACAATAACAAATATGCTGTGTAAGACCAAATATTCATAAATACTCTTTAATAAATACACAGTCAAGATTAGGCCATGAATTGAAAAATATCATATACTTAGGCATATTGGTCTACTTAGATCTCATGATTTCTCTCTCCATAACAGATGGAATGTATGAGAGCAAATTACATCCTTTACAGTTTTTAAAACAAGAATGTTATCCCCAGTCTATTTTTATTTGTCTGTATTTGGGAGAGTCAGGCTCATTTCTAGTAGCTACAGTTGCCACTTTCACGACCACCATCTATTGGGTTTGTCTTGAATGTTGACTACATGTGGAGTTAAAGAATAAACCAGGTCTATTTGTTAGGGAAGGAGCAAACAGAGGGAAACTCAGAAACTTAAGAAGTTTCACACAGCAAATTAAGGACAGAGCTGGTACTAGAACAAATGTCTCCTTAATCCTAGTCTAAGGTGATTTATATGCTACATCATCTATCCTTCTTTAAAAATATTGTTAGTAATCATTTTTACCTTTGCCTGTATGACAGAGATTGGCACTCTGACAAGTATTTAATGTCTTTAACCTCTTGATCTGATTATAAAATTAAGATCATTCCTAATTAAGATGGCAATAAGGTAAAATGGTTACTGCTGATTTTCATTACTAAAATTAAAGGCTTAAATCACTTCTTCACTTTTGATGGCCTATGAGAAAATAAACTTACTTCAAATAAGTAGAAGATTCACTGGGAGCTTTCTGTGATTAATACTAAAATAAGTAACTGTAGGCAGCTGTGACTGAATAAAGACAGAAATCCTCTACTTTCATTAATGGTAAACTTTGAGACATTCATTAAACAAAAATGGATTATAGAAAAAAATGAATTCAAAGTGGGAGATAATACAGCATATATGACAAAAAGATAATGTATAAAGAGCTCTTAGAAACCGAAAGGAAAACACAAAGTAGCTCCATTACAAAAATGGGCAAAGACAATGGCAAGACAGTTCAGGAAACAATATATACAAATAGCCAAAAAAAATTAAAATGTTTAGCTTTAGTAATCAAATCCAAACTAAACTAATGATGTACTGTTTTCCAGTAAAACATATGCACATTCCTTAGCCCTTACATTCAATTAAATAATTAATGGGATTGATAAGGTAGAAACAGATTTATCCTTGACCGAGCTCTTCCTACCCTCAGACACAGGAATGAGGACTTTACTTTCTTCTTTCACCAACTAGAACAACTCCCCTACTAGTATTTCTCACTTTACCATAAAATGATTCAAGGAATTCAGCTAAAAAAACTTTCTTAGTTTGCATGTTCTAGATTCCTTAACTCTGTGTGGCAAGCAGAATGTGAATCTCTTGAGAATGATTTAAATTGTGAAATCTGTCATCAGTGCCAAAGATAAGAAAATACATTTCAGGGGCGCCTGGGTTGGCTCAGTGGGTTAAAGCCTCTGCCTTCAGCTCATGTCATGATCCCAGGGTCCTGAGATCAAGCCCCACGTCGGGTTCTCTGCTCAGCGGGGAGCCTGCCTCCCCCTCTCTCTCTGCCTGCCTCTCTGTCTACTTGTGATCTCTGTCTGTCAAATAAATAAATAAAATCTTAAAAAAAAAAAAGAAAGAAAATACATTTCAGCCTTGTATAAAAAGTGAAAAATAAAAGCTTTTATGTCCATCAGTTTCAGAAATGTCAAAGAAATTATGCTTCGTTTCCTTCATTATGTGGACTGATATATATAACTGCAAATAAAAAATGGATTGATCCATACACACAGACATGGAAGTTTAAGGAACAAAAGCAAGTTCAAAGTAATATGTCTAGAGTGATACTGTTTATATATTAAAAGGAAACAATCCAAACTGTAGGTGTGTGTTTGTGTAAATGAATAGCATATATTGTATGTAATGAACATACAAAGGCACACAGAAAAGGTCTAGAGCAGTCCAAATGTCCAAGAGAACTTTCTGTGATGATATAAATGTTCTGCATTCACACTAATATAGAGGGCACAAGTGCCATGTGACTGTTGAGCACTTGAAATGTTAGCATGACCAGAAACTGAATTTTAATTTTGTTTAATTTGCATTAATTTAATTCTAAACTGCCACATAGGGCTAGTAGCTATCATATGAAATAGTGCAGGTATGGTATAGATGTGACTAATAAATCTATTATATATATTTAAATATATATATTTCTAAATATAAATCTAATAAAGATGTGAGGTTTTATCCTTTTTAAAAGGAGACTTTTATTTTTATTATATGTATCTCTAATTTCACAGTACTTATATAATAATGTTATAATTTTCAAAACCAATTAAAAGTACTTTTTAAAAATGAAGAAAGAATCAGCATGCTGTTATGGAGAAAGTACTGGGCTTGGAGTCAACTCAGATTTAAGCTCTTGCTCTGCATTCTTCCTATTTCTTCACATTTGCAGAGAGATAATAATCACACGTTTGGTGGGGTGTTGAGAAGTTACATAAATTCAGCTAGAATCATGCCTAACCCCCAGTAATGAAGAGAAAAAAAGGAGGAAACAGTTTCCCATTGAGGTTGTAACAAGTTAAGATTACTAATCTTAGCCCACTGACTACCCCTAATCAAACTAAGATTGTAAAGTGTTAACTTTTAAACAATTAGGGAATTTCACATCCCTTCCAAAAAATGTTGAGTTATTAAGTAGTTGTGTGGACAAGTGTGAAGATAATCTCCTGTAATCACAGAGAAAATTCGAGATGGGTTTGTGTCACCCCTGAGATTAGACTCTCTGGCTGCTCCCATCTGAACCACTGTCACAGTACACCCTCCCCATCCCCTCCTCTCCCCCTTTGTCTTAGTGCCAGAAACTGTCTTTCATGGACACTTGCTCATAAGAGAGCTTTTCCATCTCTTAGACTGTCGAGACCAAGTTTATGGGCAGCACTGAAAATATTTCGAATCCCCTCCATGGGCTGGAGGTCTCTAGTGCCAAACTAGACAGATAACTGACTGAGGAATTCATGAAGGTGAAGATACTGCAGTGTAGTTTTGGACAAGGGAAGTAGTTTTCTGTTTACAGATTATTTGCCAGTAGGATAGTTTTTAATCAGTAATCAAATGTTTTTAAAAGATTTTTATTTTATTTTTGTTGTTTGAAAAGGTGTTTTTAAATAAGTGAATAATCATCTGTATTAATTGTTTGGGGGAATTATATTCTCTAGGATTTCGAGCAGTCAAATTTACTTTGCACACCAGAGATCTGCTAAGCACAGTATTATATATTCTCAACTCCTGCAGTTTATCTGTTGAACATATCCAAAGCTTGAATACTAATGTGCATTCCCAGCCTCTCAAGGAGGCTAAAAGGATGTCTGACAGGCCCATCAAGTGGGACAAATCTTATTACTACTTTACTGGATTTAAGGACCCTCATGAAGACCTCGAACAAGTCTCAAGAATGGAAACAACCCTAACGTATGTAAAAGTTCTTATTTTACTAAACTTATTTGTAGTTCATATGAATGAAAGTCTGATCTTCCAAGAAAAGTAATTTCTATCAATAGAGTTATCCAGTAACCATTATGAAAAAGATTTCATGTTTCTTAAAGTTGCCCGAGTACTTCCAACCATATTTAATTTGTAGTCTTTTGATACCAAACATGCATACAGGGCATTGTTTTAAGTTTAAAACATTCTGCTTTTCAAGTCACCCCTGGGAAGCAGAGAAAAGATATACACCTAAGACTATAAAAAGAAAGTTAGTTTTTTTCATGTGTTAAACATTTCCAGTTTCTCCAGATAGCTCAGCAGTAATGTCCTTTAGTGTAATAATCCATACACGATAGAAGTGCATGGAGACAACATTTGAAAATAGCATCTGGGGGGTTATAAAGTATAAGCTATCAGCTATAAAATAAATTAGTCCTAGCGATATAATAATGTATAGTGTGGGGACTGTGGTTAATAATACTGTATTGTATATTTGGAAGTTGCTGAGAGAAAAGATCTTCTCAGTTTTCATCACAAGAAAAAATGTGTTACCATGTATGGTGATGGCTGTTTACTAGACTTACTATGGTGATCATTTTGTAATATATACCAATATTAAATCATTATGTTTTATACATGGAACTAATGTTATATGTCAATTGTATCTAAATTTAAAAATATCATCTGGAACATATTGAGAAAGAATAATTTTTAATTATAAAAACCATGTATGAAATATTTCCCTTTTACTTGTCCTGTTTGTAAAGTCATCATTAATGTTTTTTTGAATAAGTCCTTTTTGGACTCCATAAACACCACCCATATTCTGTTCCTATAGTTGTACCTAAAGAGTTCATGGCTTACCAGAGGATTCTCATTTATTACATCATAAATTATCTTTAATTATCTACTGGCAGAACATCTACTTTGTGAACTACCTATACTAACTCAGGAATCCCTGCGCTTGTTATCTAGCTAGATTCCAAATAAAGCTGCAGAGACAAGAAAGTAGTAGTCTAGTACAGAAAGGGAGACAAATAACCTGTCTGAAGGCATGTGTGTACATGTCTATAATGGTCTGTCTCTAATCTGTGTATGTGTGTAACTAGGGGATAAATCATCTCCCTAAATATGTGGATTTTAATTGTTCAATTTTTAATTGTTCTAATTCTCTTTGTAAACAAAACCAGAATGAAAATGTGGCTTTGGGAATGATAATGACAGACCAGAAGTAATGAAGTAACGAAGATAGAAATTGATGTATAGGGGCACCTGGGTGGCTCAGTTGGTTAAGCCTCTGCCTTCGGTTTGGGTCATGATTTCAGAGTCCTGGGATCGAGCCCTGCATTGGGCTTTCTGCTCAGCGGGGTGTCTGCTTCCCCCTCTCTCTCTCTCTCTCTCGGCCTGCCTCTCTGCCTACTTGTGATCCCTGTCAAATAAATAAATAAAATCTTAAAAAAAAAAAAAAAGAAATTGATGTGTATAAAAAAAAGGAATAGTCATGATAAGGTAGAAATTGATGATTTTAAAAAATGGTTTAGAAAAACAGAAGAGATGATTGAAGGTAATTACATGCAGAGGCTACAGTGGAAGTTAAGTAGGTTGCTGTGAGTATGAGCAGCTCCAAACCCTTTCGAGCCAGTCTTGACCTTCTCCCAAACACAGATACTGCCCACTTTGAAGGTACTCTACTGAGGACTTACTCAACAGTTTGTTTTAGGTGAGTTTTTCCCAGTAAGGATTCCAAGAGCTTTTATCATAAAAATCAGAATGGTATCTGTATCAATTTCTTGTTTCAATTATTAATTTCTTAAATTTGTAATTATTTTAAAATAATTATAAAATCATCGAATCATTGGAGAGCTTTCAGCTCATGAATTGAGTGATGCTGCCTTGTAAGATTTAGGGTACCTGTGACAGCCAAAACTTGTTAGCCACCATGGTCATTTTGGCCATATGCAGTTCATGTTTTTATTTTGATTCTTGTATTGTTTAATTTCATCTTGTATATTTAGGTTGCAGAAGAAGAATCAGAAGGTGCACATAATTATAGTGGTCACAAAGAGCATAAAAATGATAATTCTTCAAATTTACATCAAACTGGTCTTCACTGGATTTATAAATTGTATTCACCTGATCAAAAGTTATTCTTGAAAGCATGTTAAGCTTTCCTCTAGGATTTCTAATAATTTCTTCTAATATTTCAAGATACAATTTTTTTAAAAGATTTTATTTATTTATTTGACAGACAGAGATCACAAGTAGGCAGAGAGGCAGGCAGAGAGAGAGGGGGGAAGCAGGCTCCCTGCTGAGCAGAGAACCCAATGCGGGGCTGGATCCCAGGACCCGGAGATCATGACCTGAGCAGAAGGCGAGGCTTAATCCGCTGAGCTACCCAGGCGTCCCCAAGATACAGTATTTTTAAAAAATAATATAATAGCAGTGTTTTTTAGTGTAAACTGAAATCGTCTCTTACTGTTGTGAAATAAAACCTAGAAATTGTGAAAATAAATCAGTCAGGTTTTTCTTTAAAAATAGAAGAATTACCACATTATAAAGCTCCGTTCAATCTGTTTTCATATTACATCTGGTAATTACATTTTTTTTTAAAGTGGTAGTTACATTTCAATCCATGTTTAGGACGTGTTATGTAATTCTGAATTTCTTGGCAAGTTGTGCTTTATCTTACTTCAAAATCACTTTACTGTATAACCATATAAAATGGATAAAATGAAATTTTTAATACCTCAAGAGTTTTTTTCTATACTGTAATAGAAGTTTGCCAGTCTCAAAAAAATTGGGAAAATCCACTCCATGGACATGTTGTAGGTTTTAATATGTCCATATTTTGGGTATATTCTCTAATTTCTGAATAATATTATAACAAAATGAATTTTAATTTGTGCTTGGAAGGAGCCAGTGGGATCCATTTCTGTCTAAACAAATAATCCCATATGAAATCCCTTTCCAAAGGAAAAAACATGTCATGGAACTATAGAAAGGCCATTGAAATGCTATTCTATCATACACTGAAATCCAGTAAATGTCAGACTTCCATTTTTTGCATTTGAATTTTGTTCAAGGAGTTATATTTCACTTTCAGTGTAGAAGTTCTAAATCAATCTTAGTGTTCACAAAATGCCACATTGTACAACTACAACCTTGGAACTATTTCTGCAGAACATTTGGAAATTTTAGTCATGATTTAACTGGTATCATGCATTTATTTATTCTTTCCTTTTCTGTAGGCTAAGTCAGTGTTTTTCACATTGCAAGTATGATGCAACTTAGTGATTTGGGATCAGCAAAGTGGTTTTGCTTTTGCTTTTGTCTTTTTTTACATTTTTTAAAATACATGTTTTCAGTAAGTTTAAGTAGTGTTTCTCAAAATACTTGTTTTAGTTATGTAGAAACATATATGTGTGTGCATGTGTGTATATATGTGTTCTTACTGTGAAAAAAAATTTCTTTGTGTGGATTGCCATCCAAGAAGTTTGAAAAGCTATTTGTGTAAATGCCTTACTTGTTCCACGCAGTTTGAAGCCTAGGAGTTTGAAATTTATGCCATCTTAATTTTATTGTGATTTGGATCATGGCTCTCTTTTTCATCCTCTTAAATCCATGAAAAACTGAACTTTTTGGGAGTTACTGAAATTTTTTTTTAAGATTGTATTTATTTGAGAGAGAGCGAGTTAGAGAAAGAGAGACTGGGAACACAAGCAGGGGGAGCAGCAGGCAGAGGGAGAGGGAGAGGGAATAGCAGACTCCCCGCTGAGCAGGGAGTCCGACCTGGGGCTTGATCCCTCATGACCTGAGCTGAAAGCAGACACTTAACCAACTGAGCCACCCAGGTGCCCCAGCATTATTGAAATATTTTTATCTAAAAAGAATCATGAACCTAGGAACTAAACTAAATGTCTTCAATTTGCATCTAACTTTATACCTTGTACATGATATTCCTGTATTCATTTTTTTAAAAATTAAAAAAAAAAGATTTTATTTATTTATTTGACACAGAGAGAGAGATCATAAGCAGGCAGAGAAGTAGGCAGAGACAGAGAGGGAAGCAGGCTCCCTGCTGAGCAGAGAGCCCGATATGGGGCTCGATCCCAGGACCCTGAAATCATGACCCAAGCTGAAGGCAGAGGCCCAACCCACTGAGCCACCCAGGCGCCCCTGTATTCATTTTTATATACCACTTTGCTTTGGCTTCATTTCATTATCAGCTTTTTTTTTTTTTTCTTCTCTTTGCCTGCCTCTTATTAACAGTACATGTACTAGGACGCCTGGGTGGCTTGGTGGGGAGCCTGCTTCTTCGTCTCCATCTGCTCCTTGTCCTGGTTCATGCTCACTCTCTCTGTCTCAAATAAATAAATAAAATCTTTTTTAAAAATGCTCTAAAAAAATGCATGTACTGTATTTATCACTGTAGGTATAATGAAATCATTTTTGAAACCAAAGCGAGGTCTAACAAATTAACCACCATGAAGTAACCACTTCATAGCCTAATATGGTTATAATAAAAAAGAGAATAGCAAGTATTGGGAAAGATGTGGGAAAAACGGATGTCTACATAAAAACTTGCTCATAGCAGCATTATTCATAATAGCCAAAAGTAGTGCCTTCCTAGCGTAGTAGGCAGCACGTCAGTCTCATAATAGCCAAAAGTGTCCTATCAGCTGATGAGTGGATAAACAAAATGTCTGTTTATAGGATGAAGTAGTATTTGGTCATAAATACAAATGAAGTACTATACATACTATAGCATGGATGGACTTTGAGAACATTATTATTATTATTATTATTTTTATTTATTTGACAGACAGAGATCACAAGTAGGCAGAGAGGCAGGCAGAGAGAGAGAGGGGGAAGCAGGCTCCCTGCTGAGCAGAGATTGATGCGGGGCTCGATCCCAGGACCCTGAGATCATGACCTGAGCCAAAGGCAGTGGCTTAACCAACACTGAGCCACCCAGGTGCCCCACTTTGAGAACATTATCCTAAGAGAAAGAAGCAGCCACAGTGGACCACATATTGCATGAGTCCATCTACAATCAGAATTGGCAAATCTGTGAGACAGGAAGTAGATTAGTGGTTGCTAAGAGCTGGAGGGGAGTATTGAAGTAACTGCTCATGGGTACATGATTTCTTATTAGGGTGATGCAAGAGTCCTAAAATTGATTGTGCTGGTGATTGCACAACACTGAGAACATACTAACAATAGATGACTTGTTTGGTATATATATATTACATTTCATTAAAGCTTTTCTTTTTATTTCTTTTTAATTTAAATTCCAGTTACATACAGTGTAATATTAGTTTCAGGTGTAGAATTTGGTGATTCAGCACTTCCTTACAACACCCGGTGCTCATCACAAGTGCACCCCTTAATTCCCATCACCTATTTCACCCATCCCCCCACCCACCTCCCCTCTTTAACCATCAGTTTGTTCTCTGTAGTTAGGAGTCTGTTTCTTGGTTTTCATTGCTCTCTTTTTTTCCCCTATAATCATTTGTTTTGTTTCTTAAATTCTGCATTTGAATAATACCACGTGGTATTTGTCTTTCTCTGAATTACTTATTTCACTTAGCATGATAACTCTCTAGCTCCATCCATGTTGTTGCAAATGGCAAGATTTCATTCCTTTTTGGTGGCTGAATAATATTGTCAGGTATATAATATATATACCACATCTTCTTTATCCATTCATCAGTTGACGGGCATTTGGGCTCGTCCTATAACTTGGCTATCGTTGATAATGCTACTATAAACATTGGGGTGCATGTATCCCTTCGGATCAGTATTTTTGTATCCTTTAGATAGATACCTAGTAGTGCAATTGCTGAATCATAGGTTAATTCTATTTTTAACTTTTTGAGGCACCTCCATACTGTTTTCCAGAGTGTCTGTGTCAGGTGCATGCCCACCAATGGTACGAGAGAGTTCCCCTTTCTCTTCTATCCTCACCAACACCTGTTGTTTCATGTGGTGTTAGTTTTAGCCATTCTGACAGATGTGAGGTGCTATCTCGTTGTGGTTTTGATTTGCAGTTCCCCAACGATGAGTGATGTGGAGCATTTTTTCATGTGTCTATTGGCCATTTGGATGTCTTATTTGGAAAAATGTCTATTTGTGTCTTCTGCCCGTGTTTTAACTGGATTATTTGTTTTTTAGGCGTTGAATTTGATTAGCTCTTTATGTATTTTGGATACTGACCCTTTATCAGATATGTCATTTGCAAATATCTTCCATTCTGTAGGCTGCCTTTTAGTTTTGTTGATTGATTCCTTCACTGTGCAGAAGCTTTTTATCTTGATGAAGTCCCAATAGTTCATTTTTGCTTTTGTTTCCCTTGCCTCAGAAGACTTATCTAGTAAGACTTTGCTATGGCCAATGTCAGAGTGATTGTTGCCTGTGTTCTCCTCTAAGACTTTAATGGTTTCCTGTCTCATATTTGGGTTTCTCCATTTTGAATTTATATTTGTTTAGGATGTAAGAAGGTGGTCCAGTTTCATTCTTGTGCATATTGCTGTCCAGTTTTCCCAACACCATTTGTTTAAGAGACCGTCTCTTTCCCATTGCATAGTCAATCCTTCCTGCTTTACTCAAGATTAATTGACCATATAGTGTAGGTCCATTTCTGGGGTTTCCATTATGTTCCATTGAGTGATGTCTATTTTTGTGCCAGTACCATACTGTTTTGATCACTACAGCTTTGTAATCTAACTTGAAGTCTGGAATTTTGATGACTCCCACATTGTTTTTCTTTTTCCAGATTGCTTTGGATATTTGGGGTCTTTTGTGGTTCCATACAAATTGTAGGATTGTTTGTTCTAGTTCTGTGAAAAACACTGTTGGTATTTTGATAGGGATTGCATTAAATCTGTAGATTGCTTTGGGTTGTGTAGACATTTTAACAATATTTGTTCTTGTAATCCATGAGCATGGAATGTTTTTCCATTTCTTTGTGTCATCTTCCATTTCTTTCATCCATGTTTTATAATTTTCAGAGTACAGGTCTTTCACCTCTTTGGTTAGGTTTATTTCTAGGTAACTTATGGTTTTGGGTGCATCAGTAAAGCTTTAAAAAAACTATTACTACTCTTTTAAAAAATATATTATTGAGGGACACCTGGGTGCCTCAGTTGGTTAAGCATCTGCCTTCAGTTTGGGCTGTGATCCCAGGGTCCTGGGAGGGAGTCTCACATCAGGCTCCTTGCTCAGTGGGGAACTTGCTTCTCCCTCTCCCTCTGCCTGCTGCCCTCCCTGCTTGCGAGTTCTCTCTCTTTCTCTGTCAAATAAAATTTTTAGGGAGCCCAAAGTAGGACTTGATTCAGGACTCTGGGCTCATGACTTGAGCTGAAGTCAGATGCGTAATTGACTGAGCCACCCAGGTGCCCTTCATATATCCTAATTTCTTATCTCTATATTGCTTAGTAAATGTGTCTTCCTTTGCAGAACAATTTTATCTTCCTTACATCCCAACACAACACAGTATCAAGCATTTCAAATAAATATTCGATAGATGCATAAGGATTTTATTGGTTTCAAGATTATCAACTTGATAATTTTTTAAAAGTCTATTCTGCCAGCACCTGTTAAGTCATATTCTAGTTATGATGACTTCCTTTATATATATAAAAAATTAAATTTTAACTATGCTAAACCTGTTCTTAGATTTCTAGAGATGGGATAAAGGTTTAAAAATTCAAGATACTCCAAAACCTCTCCCTTATGTGTATCACAGTTTTCAGTGGGCTGTGCTAGATCTTCACTCATATACATCCGTCATTCACTCATATTCTCCCCAGGGAAGGTGGAACTACCACTTCTACCAGAACAAATGTGGAAATAATGTTATGGTACAACTAATAAGATGAAAAGTCAAACTGAAAAGACACATCTAATGGTGCTGGCGACACACTTAAAGGGCAGTGAATATGTCCTAATGAAGGAACTTGAAAGATTACTTTGGGCGTTCTAGCTGGGTAGATTCCAATTTCTTCCTTTAGTTTAATCTTAATCATTAGTGCCCTGAGCCTTCCATGCTTACTCCTCTATATCTCTATCCAAGTCCCTCCAGTGGCCAGACCTTATCAGCCCAGTCTCTTTTTACCACAGAGTCTCCCAAAACACCTGTCCTTTCAGGTAGGTCTGTTTATTCCCCCAATGCTCACTGCTTCCCTCCCACACACCCAGTGGAAGTTAATTCTGTTACTTCAGGCTCTACTCAACTCTCTCCACCTTGTGTTTTGCCTATAATTTGGTAGAGGTTTGATTGGAAACTTAGTTTAACACTGGAGCTGCTTTACTGCAGTGCCTATATCTTTTAGAACTAGAAATGTTTGCCTTAGAGTCAGTATTTAAAGTGTATCTCTCTCTCTCTCTCTCTTTTTTTTTTTTTCCTCTAGATCCTGGTTAGATAACAATGGGAAAAGCGCAGTTAAAAAACTGAAGAACAGTTTGCCCCTTAGAAAAGAGCTAGACCGTTTAAAGGATGATCTGTCTCATCAGCTGCAGCTCTCAGACATCAGGTAACACTGACAGAACCTAATGGAGAGACTAAAATAAGCATGTATTAACTGCAGGTCACAAGCTTTCCAGCAGAAAATATTCCAGCAAATATTTGCATCTTTCACTGTAATTATTCTGATAGCTATAAATAACCTTCGGTTATCTTTTTCTGAAAGTAGTCAAATGTTCATCTATGTAAGAAAACTATCAATCTCTCGTTTACAATTGTGAAATAAGGTTTAGATACTGAAATTTTTAGCATAAGAGTTTAATTTTTTTAATGTTTATAAGAAAAATATCCTTTTCCATATGCAATAATATATAAAAAGTAATTATTCCTCCATCCTGTGAGATCAGTATTCAAGTTTAAAATGAGTAAGGGAGACAGAAAATATGGGTGTCGTATTCTTGGTTCTGTGTTTTATAGCATGACTTTTTAAAGACGTTTTCGCTAACCTGGAAATCAGTTATATAAAGATGATAGGCATTTATTATAAAAACAGATTTAACAGCTATTAAAACAGTAAGGAAGGTAAAAGGGGGCCCTAGTGTGATTCGGGCATGAGGGGAACCACCCGTTACAGGAACTGAGAAACTATTGCCCAGTTTTGTGCTTGAACGTTTCTATTACTGTTTGTTGTAACCTGTTTTGTTTTTTTCAACCTTCACTATCAGGATTTTTTTTCTTTCTTTTGAACTAAATGACTATTTGGTTATCATAATAACACCTTTTTCTAGTGCCTATGGAATACTGATAATACATGTTTTGTTCTTGTATATTCAAATCATAATGGATTTTTGGGGCTTCTTTTAAATCATAGTTTTATAAGATAATTTGGATTTCAAGGGAATTGTGTAGACTTGGGGTATGTGGGATGTTTGGATTTGTGCTGATGGCTGCTTTTTTATCATCACATCAGTATTTTTTGGCCCTGCTTTGATTATGCAGATTCTTTGAATCCCAGTTTAGTGGCATGGACTTCTCTAACCAAAACCTAACAACAAGATCCTTTTTAAAAGTTTGTAAAATAAATAAATTTATGTACACAAAAGTACCTTTTTCTAGTATAAATTCTAAATGAACTATCAAAGAGACTGGAATTAGGAAAGTTAAAGGATTTTTTTTAAGGATTTCTTAACATAAAAAGAAATAAGCATTATATTACAATATGGTGTAGAAATTTCTCAGCTTTGATTTTTGCCATAGTAAATGTCAATAAATATGAAACATATAAACAAAAGCTCTTTGGGTTCCCCATTTTTAGGAGTGCAAAAGCTTTCTGAGACCGAAACATCTGAGGATCATGGGTATGATGGCTTTCCACTATTGGAAAATCAGCCACGCCTCCAAAAGATGGAAACATTGTGACCAAGGACTGTTTCTAACTCTGAACCACCTGTGTGAAAGACCAGTTATTAATAAGAACTGTATTTAATAGCTTTATCACAGTATTAATTCTTTGAAATTACATCTGTTTCATCTGTGGGTTAATTGAAAATCCACTTTACTAGCGATGACATTCATCAGAATTAGTGATAGGATGAAGGAGGAACCTGTTTTTTGAGAGCTTGTTTTGGGTACCTTACTTCTCCACATATGTTATCCCTTAGATTTATGCTGCCTGTGCTGGGGGAAGTGATCCCACTTAGTATGTATGAAATGGAAACAGCAGGAAACCTAGAAGGGACTTATTCAAGGTCACAGAGCCAGTAAATCACAGAATTAGAATTCAAAGAGGGATGTTCTGATGCTTCTAAAGATCAGTGGTCTTTACACCACTGTACGCCAGTGCCTCTGTGATACCATGTGGATGTCAGGTTCCGTTTCGTCACTAAGATTCAGTGTTCATTTAGAAAATAAGTGGATTGCATGTCATTTTAAAAAATCACTTTCTCTAGAATAAGATAAAAAGGATCTGATCTAGACCTAGAGTTCCTAATTAGAACTTAAATCAAAAACAAAATCGTCATCACTGAATAATGTGGAGATGAGAAAGGTTTCCTTAAGTGTTCCCCATTTCATTCCTTTATTTTAAAATAACAACAGCATAGTATATTTGCTTGTTTTAAATGTTTGGGTATCTGAACATAGTAGTAATATTTTTACTCTCTGGCAAACCATTCATTTTCCATTTGGTTGCTTCATAAAAAAATTAGCTAGTTGGAAAACATATGCCTACTTGAGAAACTCCCTGGTTTTCACAGGAATCAGGCAGCTGGGGGTGAGAGCAGGCCTCCTCCCTCAGGGCTGCCTGGTGTTAATGCACCTGTGTGCTCTGTTGTACCAGGTGGCAGAGGAGCTGGGGCATCGCCCATCGCTGTAGCCAGCTGCATAGTTTAGGCCGCTTAGCACAGCAGAACTTGGAAACACTGAAAAATGCAAAAGGTAAACAATTTCCATTTTTTTTTTAAATATCACTCAGCTGCTATACACATCTGTAAATTGTGAAAGTAAACAAAGTATTAAAAGCCCTTACAGATGGGACTTTATCACAGCTGAATTTTAAAATCTGTTCCTTTGAATAAAACAATGACATGAAATCAGCCTTTAAGGGATGCCAGGGTAGTTCAGTCTGTTAAGCTACAGACTTGATTTCAGCTCAGGTCATGATCTCATGGTCTTGAGGTGAAGCCAGGTGGCAGACTCTGAGCTCAGCACAGTCTGCTTGGGATTCTCTTCCACCTCCTCTGCCCTTCCCTCCCGCCCTCCCTCAGATATGCATGCTCGTGCTTTCTCTCTTTCTCTCTTTCTCTCCCTCTCTCTAAAATAAATCTTAAAAAAAAATTTTTTTTTAAATTAGCCTTGGGTACCTGGATGGTTAAGTCAGTTAAGTGTCTGCCTTCGGTTCAGATCATGATCCCAGGGTCCTGGAATCAGTTCCCACATGGGGCTCCCTGCCCAGCGGGGAACCTGCTTCTCCCTCTGCTTGCTGTTCCCCTGCTAGTGCTCTCTCTCTCTCTTTCAAATAAATAAATAAAATCTTGAAAAAATAAAAAATTAACCTTTAAGCGTCTGCTGAATTGAACCCTGAATTTGTATACTAAATTTAAGTCATTATTTGCATAATGCTAAAAAAATGAAGCATCTCTGGGTGACCAAAGGGTTTGTGTTTTATTATCAGGATGTACAATAATATTTACAGACCGATCCGGGATGAGTGCAGTGGGCCATGTGATGCTAGGAACAATGGATGTCCATCATCACTGGACAAAAGTAAGGAAAAGTTTCAAAGCAAAAAATCTTGACTTGTCATAGACCTTCTTTTGTTTAAAACTATGCTACTTTGTCAGTGAACTAAATCTCGAATCATAGTTTCAGCTATTTTCAGAATAGATATTTATTATCATGTAGTTAAAATACTTAGAGGCCTGATTTTTAAGTCAGTTTTTATTTGGAAATTTTATAGTCTTTCCTGAAGTGTAGCCTAAAAGGCCTGCATTCTATTGTTTTGGTTTTAACAGATTTACAGTGTTATAATTGACATACAATAAACTACACATATTTAGTGTGTATAATTTGATGAGATTTAGCATGTGTAAATGCCCATGAAGCCATTAACACAATCAAGATAGTGAACATATCCATCACCCACAAAAGTATGCTCATGTCCCCTTGTAAACTCTCTCCTCTATCTGCCACCCTCTCCCCAAGCAACCAGTGGCCTGCTCTCTGTCACTATAAATCAGTTTATATTACTAGAGTTTCATATAAGTGGAATCACAAAGTATATACTTCTTTTTGCGGGGAGTTCTGTTTTCTTTCATTGACATAATTTCAGATTCATCCTTGCTGTTGCATGTATCAAGAATTTATTCCTTTTTATTTCCATGTAGTATTCCATCATATTACCATTTGTTTATCCATTTACCTATTAATGGACGTTGAGTTATGTCAGTTTTGGCAATGGGAAATAAAGCTGTTAGAAACATTATGTCCAAAAAAAAAAGAAAGAAAGAAACATTATGTCCAGATGCACATATATTTCCTTTTCTCCTAAAGTGGAATAGTCAGATCATAAGTAGGGTATTTTACCTTTTGAGAAACTGCTAATGCTTACAATGGTGGTTTTTTAAAATTTTAGCCATTCTAATAGATGTGTGGTGCTATCTCATTTGGATTTAATTTGCATTTCCATAATGACAGATGATGGAGAGTATCTTTTCATGGGCTTATTTTCTGTCCATATACTTTTGTGAACTGTCTGTTCAAATCAAATATTCAGTAGAAGATACTTGCAAACCATATCTGACGATGACAAAGTCTGTGTACCGAGTGCATAAAAGAACACTCAAAACTCAATAATCAAAAACCCAAACCATCCAAAAAAACAAAAGTCTTGAACAGCTACAGCACAGAAGACCTACAGATGACAAATTTTTTGAAAGGCTAAAATGAAAAATAATGACACGAAATTCTGGTAAGGGTGCAGAAACACAGGATCACTTATCTGTCACTGGGGGGGATAGGTAGAATGGTACAAGGGCTCTGGAAAAGAAAATGACAGCACAAAACTAAACATGTTTACTATGTGACCCAATAGTTGCACCCTTGGGCGTTTGTACTAAAGAAGTGAAAAATTATGTCCACACAAAAACCTGTACATGAATGTGCATAATAGCCAACAACTACAACAACTTTAATGTCCTTCAGGCTGTGAATGATTAAACTGTGGCACATCCATACAACAGAATATTACCCAACAGGAAGAAGGGATGAACTACTCATACCAGCAACAACTGGATGGATCTCAAGGGCATTGTGCTGAGTGCAAAAAGTCAGTATCAAAAGATTACATATTGTGTGATTCCACTTTTATAACATCCTTAAAATAACAAAATGGTGGAAAAAAATAACAAAATGGTGGAAAAAAACAGATTAGTGGTTGCCAGGGGTTGGGGAGTAGGCGGCTCTCCCCCGTGGTCCGTGGGGGATCGCTGAGCGCACAGGATCCCTATGGTGGAACTGTTCTGTATCATGTGGTCATGGGATGTGAATCTACACATGGGATAAAACTGCATGTAGTTAAATACACACTTACATAACTAAGTGTAAGTAGAACTGATGAAGTCTGAATCAGGCCAGTGGATTGTATCAATGTCAGTTTCCCGGTTGTGATGTTATACTGTAGTTTTGTAACACGTTACCATTAGGGAAAGGGTGAAAGATGTATGAATCTACAGTTATCTGAAAATGAACAGTTTTTTAAAGGTACTTACCATTTATACATAGATAAATCATTAAGAGAAAAGTGGAGTAAGTGGGTAGGGAAATGATTTTCAGAGTGTTAGAAGTCTATTATAAATGATTTGTAGAATTAGTATACTGCTTTTTCTTTTATTAGAGCAGAGGTTTTGATGCTTTTCCACGCCTGTGTAAGTTGTGCATCCCTAGCTCTCTAGGTAAAGTCTGAGTCCTCAGCACAGCACACCAAGGTCTTCCCACTTCAGCGGACCAGACTCTGGTCTCTCTTCCCCGACACACTTCCATGTGCATCTAACTCCCGCGAAATCCAGTCTTTTCAGACGGTCACATTAGACTTTCTTAGAAAGCTTTACTTGCGTGTCTTCTCTGTATCCACTCATGCTGACGTGGCACTTAGTACAAAGAATCCTGATTCTTGTTTTGTTCACTTGCACCCCGACTGAGAATCAGGGCCGAGCACCTATAATCTATACACTACAGGTGCTTAATTTCATGCTTAAGTATATGGTAGGTGCTCAGTGATGTTTATTGCATGGAATTGAGTTTTGTTGAATTAAATTCTGAAGAAGTACACTTGGTATTGAAATCCATGTACTTGGGGGGCCTGGGTGGCTCAGTGGGTTAAAGCCTCTGCCTTCAGCTCAGGTCATGATCCCAGGGTCCTGAGATCGAACCCCACATCAGGCTCTCTGCTCAGCAGGGAGTCTGCTTCCCTTCCTCTCTCTGCCTGCCTCTCTGCCTACTTGTGATCTCTGTCAAATAAATAAAATCTTAAAAAAAAAAAAAAAAAGAAATCCATGTTCTTTATTTCTCAAACCCTTCTCTATTAGACCATGTAATCATTCTAAACTAATATGAGATTTAAATAACAGTACTTAGGACTTATTTTCACTTGGAACCTATTTCTTTCTTTCTGTAGTCACTTCAGTCCTGTCCAAAAATCCCTAAGATTATAGTGGTTTGTTTTGAATATTAATGTTTCTAGCATTACACTAAGTCTTTTTCTTTCACTTATTAGAACTTTCCTTCTAGGAAAACAGTTTTTCTTGTTAAAATTTCTCAATCCCATTTATTGGAATCCTAAAATTGAGCTATTACAATAACATAAAAGTAAATATTTCTTTCACTTTTTTTTTTTTAAATTCTGTAGCTTTTTGAAAGGTTACCAAGTTATTTTGACCTTCGGAGGAGGCTGATGCTTTTAGAAGACCAAATAAGCTACCTTCTCGGAGGCATACAAGTGGTTTATATCGAGGAATTACAACCAGTATTGACGCTTGAAGAATATTACTCTCTTCTTGATGTGTTCTATCATAGACTGTTGAAAAACAGAATACCCTTTCACCCTCGAAGTCTGCGTGGTTTACAGATGATCCTTAACAGGTAAATATCTAAAACAAGAATGACTTTTATTCTTTCACTTAGATGTGTTGTGTGTGTAAGTAGATTAAATTGTTTTGTGTTTTTCTTAGGAACTAAAGAATGTCACTCTCATTAGCAACACTCTTTTTTACACATTAAAAAAGCCAACTTGGAGAGGATGAAGGATTGACTCTGCAAACAGTCTTGAAATACATTGCCACGTACAGGGCAAAGTCAGTCCTATGAAAAACTGTCTAGGATTAAACTAATACTGCATCAGTAACCCACATTTTTGTGCACATTACAGTTTTCACAACCTGTGCTTGGTGCTAAATACACACCTCCCCTCTCACCTGAGAGTGAAGTGGGCTACAGCCTCTGTCTCACAGATGAGGGTGGCCACGGGGTGAGGAGGAATGTGGTCATCCCAAGGGTGTGTGTCTTTGAGGAACAGCAAAACTTAAAGCCTAATTTTGCTATATACTTTTAAAGTAAAGTAGATTTTTTTGATGAATTCCTTTATCACTCATCAGACTACTAAAATATTTTCTTTGGGGGTGGAGTGGGAAACAAGGGATGAGTGATTCTTCCTTTCACGTGTGTTTTGTTCCAGTGACAGATACGCTCCAAGCTTGCATGAACTCGGGCACTTTAACATCCCAAGCCTCTGTGACCCAGCAAACCTCCAGTGGTTTATTCTTACCAAAGCCCAGCAGGCGAGAGACAACATGAAAAGAAAAGAAGAGTAAGTGCCACGAGCCCTTTGTAATGTCCTGCCTGTCAGTCAGTCTGTCAAAATTCAGGTATTCAGAATTCATAAAGATGGGACATAAGAACTGCATGAAACTTAGGAAGTGGACTGACTTGTGCATATTCCACGTTTCTTTATCCCCCGCCTTGGTCTGCCAGGAATTGCATGTGGTGTTTCTGATTATGAAGCCTCAATGACATTACCGCCATGCGCCTCCATTTGAGAAGCAAGGCTTGTTAGTATAAAAATCAACTCAGGGGCAGAACAAATGGTAAGAATATCAGAAAGAAATTCTCCAGATGGAAAAAAGGTGGCAACAAGGAAAAATTCAGTTACTGCTTAAATAACAGGAATCTTGATGGTTTAAAACTTTGAGAACTATGGATTTTAAGTAAATGAGAAGAAGTTTTAAAGTAAAAAATTGTTTCAGTTCATAAGCAGTCCTGTCTCTGTTGTTTGTATCTTTGAAGGACTTGTAGCCGACAGTTTCCTGATTTGTGGGCATTGGATACTGCTTGATAATGTTTTATGTATCTCCTATGAAGAAAGGAGGATATTACATTCAAAAGAGGTTTTTCTAAGGACATTGGCAAAGGAGGTTTGGATACTGAGAATTTACTCACTCGTTCATTCATTTAGCAGTCTTTTGCCATGACTGTTGTGTGCCCGAGACTGACAGGTTCCACCAAGAGAATGATGGGCCCAGGTCCTTGCCCTCCTGGACTGTGTTTCTGGTAGGAGGTGCAGGTTCTGCATGCATCTGCGGTAGCTGGACAAGAGAGGGGCCGAGTGAGAAGCACCAAGGCTAGCGCTCCCAGAAGGCCATAGGGGCACTGAAGGGAACACAGTGGCCCAGAGAACGTGGCTGCACAAGTCCAGGGAGGAGGGTAAGAAGGACAGAGACCAGAACCTGGAAGGTAGGGGATCTGAGGTAACTGTTCAGCAGTGTGCATGGGAGCCCCTGGTTCCGCATCACCACCAGCCGCTCATCTGAAAGAAAGGGTGGTGGTGGAGGAGAGCCATAGAAGACAAAAGATAACAGGATTGTTTTGTGCATAAAATAAGTGAAGGAGCTACATCTCTTTGTTTTGTTTGTGGACTTGGTGACAGCTCTGTTGGCCAGCTCCAATGGCACGGATGTCCCATTTCTTGACTGGTTAGTAAGCCTTCATGTTGTCATGTGATTTCTCACCATTATAAGTCAGCTTTAACCCTTGGAAGCAGCTCTGGCCCACCTGTCACTGTGAGGGCTGATGGTTTCGGTGGCTATACTATAGTTGCTGCTTCTGGTTTTTCCGTGGCCATGGAAAATGGAAAATGGAAAATTTTCCATTTTGTAGGTTTGGTGTACTGCTTCTAGATTATGAGGAAGTAAAATAAAAAGAAATGCAGTTCACATAGGTTATTTTTTGAAAGTTCCATCCTACCTGTGAGGTCAACACGGTGACTCATCAGAGCAGCCAGAGTGAGTCGCCCTGTGAGAAGTCGGGTTGGGGCCTGTCACTCCACTGAACTGGCCTGCAGGCTAGGGTCCCCTAGACACCCTGGAAGGGAAAGGCTGTTCCCCACCATCTCCTTATTGGAGGGGCCAGCCCCAGAGAGAGCCCCAGTGAAGGCTGCCCCAGAGAGAGCCCCAGTGAAGGCTGCCCTCTCTGGGCTCGATTCTCCTCCGAGATTACACCCCAGAAGGACTAATGGGACCTCGTGGTTGTAAAGGTTGTGGCCTAGGGGTTGGGGCAACCTAGGAATGAGGCCAGAGGCTTCTCTGAGAAGGAAAGGGAATGCATGTCCTGCCCAGAGATGTGTATAAAGATGTGTCACTGGATAACTACACAGTAACTTAACCACATGCCAGGCTTTCTATTTCTAAGTCAGATTGTTAGTATCTTTTTTTTTTTTTTTTTTTTTGAGCCAGTGAGAAAAGTTTGTCAATCTCTGCTATTGATGGTACCTATGGTTCTTCCTGTCTAGAAAGATTAGCTACAGGTTCAACTCGAACATTCTGAGAACCCCCTCAGCCCTAACTGCTCTTCAACTTCTTGAATCTCTAAGCAGCATTGTCTAGAAGGAGTCATCTTACAGGAAAAAAAACTACCACCACCTGAGAAAGTGTTCGGGGTGTTGTTGAAGGGAGTAAGTCAGTAATTACAGACCCTGCTACTCATTGCCGCTGACTACAATGACTATTTCTGTTTTCAAATATTTTCCTAGCTTTTGGATATTTCATGGTACTTTTTTCCTTTATGCAAAGATTAAGAGTGGGTAAATAGAGGTTACTTGGGTATTTTTAACTAGTGCGATACTTAAACTTCTTTAGGAACCCTTGACCATGGCACTTTTGGTTTACTCACCTTACTGTGCGGGCTTCCCAAGAGATGTACATGCTGGTCTGCACACCCCTCAAGGGTGTGACAAGGTGGAGGCCTCTTTCACACATCCCAAGATTTGGAGGATTGAATCTGTTAATCAACGTATACCCATAAACATTGGCCACCTATATTTAAGACACTGAGTTCTGCCCTGAGTTGTCTGCTTTGTAGGCCTTCACTCAAGCCCTTGATGGAAAAAGAGGCATCGTAGCCCATAGGCCAAGGGGAGGGAACAGAAAGGGAGCTGATGGGCATAGAAGAGAGTGGAGGGGAGGTGCCTCTTCCCCAGGTGCCTGGTCTTATTATGAGCCTGGTGGGTGTGTTTGGGAGTCTCTAGAAGTCATGACTGCCCTAGGGTCAGACTGTTCACCTACAGTCTAAAACTAGGGCTTTTACACTCAGCTTTCTGCTTTTACTAACAGCTGCTCAGTGAGGCAGGATAAGAACTTTTAAAATTATGTCTTAATTATTTTTACCCATTACTGCTAAAAGACTTAACAAATACTATCAAAGATACATGTATAAGAACTATTGGCATGTCTTCTAAACATGTCATTTACCCTTGCTGGATACCATTTTCAGTGTTGAAAGTAGAAAGTTAGACTCCAGTGTTTATAGTAGCAATGCCCACAGTAGCCAAAATATTGAAAGAGCCTAGATGTCCATCGACAGATGATGGATAAAGATGTGGTATATACGTACAATGAAATATTACTTAGGCATGGGAAAGAACGAAATCTTGTCATTTGCAATGACATGGATGGAACTAGAGGGTATTATGCTAAGTAAAGTAAGTGAGTCAGAGACAAATACCATATGATCCCACTCATATGTGGAATTTAAGAAACAAAACAGATGAACATAGGGGAAGGGAGGGAAAAATAGAAATCAGAGAGGGAGACAAACCGTAAGAGACTCTTAACTCTAGGAAATAAACTGAAGGTTGCTGGAGGGGAGGTGGGTGAGGGGATGGGGTCACTGGGCGATGGGCATTAAGGAGGGCATGTGATGGAATGAGCACTGGGTATTGTATGCAACTGATGAATCACTAAATTCTGCCTCTGAAATATTACAGTATATGTGAACTAACTTGAATTTAAATAAAATCTTGAAAGAAAGAGGCCCAATATATAAAATTATATCTACACTTTATGTTCTTTTATTTGGTGATAGCTTGTGGCAATATTATGTTTATTTTCAATATAACAGGTTAAAAGTTATTGAAAATGAATTGATACAGGCTTCAACGAAGAAATTTTCTCTGGAAAAGTTTTATAAGGAGCCCAGCGTTTCTAGTAAACAAATGGTGGATTGTTGTAAGAGACTTCTAGAACAATCACTGCCTTACCTAAAAGGGATGCACCTCTGCATTTCACATTTTTATTCTGTTATGCAAGATGGAGACCTTTGTATTCCTTGGAATTGGAAGGATGGAGAAGCCATTAAATAACAGAAAATCTGTATTATTTTTGAGGAGATAAGAAATTGTTAAACTTCTTTAAATCCACAATTTGATGTAACAGTATTTACATATTACAAGAACGAAGTTTCTGTTGCTCTAAAAGTGGAACTTTTTAAAAACTTAATTTCTGCTATAAAACTCATTTTAAAAGGTTTTATCTCCCAGTCTTATGGTGGTTCTTATCTGATTGGCAAGATTGGGTAAAAAGATGTCAGAATGAAAGAACATTTTTTAGCAATGTGTACATAGGATATCTATTTTTATATGACTTAACGTGGGTACATGTAAACAGGTCTCATTCAGCATAGCTCTCAAGTAATGGGACTCGTTCAACATGCAACTGGATAGTTGCCTCTTGTGTGTCAGCATAAACGTGTGTTTTGCAGCCAGGAGGGGACAGTTACTGTTTAAAACGGGAGACTTATGGGTAGCAAAAATTAGATAACCAGATTTTTCCTGAAAGAAAGAGTAGAAGGAAAAACAAAGCAATGTATAGTATTCACATTGTCTTAAGTAGTCTGATACCAGTTTGTTAAAACATCTTAGTGACAGAATATTTAGGTTTAAATCCAGAAGTTTTCTTACCTATTAAAATATTATAACTGTTGGTTAGCATGACACTATCAGACAGTAAATGTCTTTGAATCAGTGACGTAACTCATTTATTTTTGTGGACAAACTATCCGGAAAAACCTTGCTTATTTCTCCAAGATTCCCAGCAAGTAGGGAGTGTAAAATGGCTCAGGCCATTCAGGATTTCTGTCATCCCCTCAACTCTGGCTTCCTGTTCCTACCAGTGTTTCACTCGTGGGGTGAGGCCCCTGTGAGCTGCCCCTTGTGCATAGTTGTGTGGGCTCCCTGAGGCCACAGCACAGCTTAGCCCCCAGGGACACGGGGGACCTGCTTGGAGACACAGGGCTTCTCTCTTCACAGGTGTTTCCCTTCAGATAATATATTTCACCTCAAGAGGATAAGATAAATCCTAATTTGGGATTTTGTAGCCCCTGCTGCTGAAGAAATAGGAAAGGAGTTTTTTCCCCACTGAAAGAAAAGGAGCCGTTAACGACAATTCTTAAATACATTTCAAATTCATCTAAAACACTATTATTTAAATGGTTTAAATTCTAATTCAAATGTGTGTTCAAAAGAAATAATGATTTGTAATTTTTATAGTTTGTGCGTATCATCTCTTTGAACCTTCAGTAACAACTATACTGAATTTTTTTTTTCTGTTGCCTATAAAGATTTCCCAGAGCCAAATGATGGGGATGAAAAATTCCTTCCTTAAAGGTTACATAAGAAAATTTATTGAAATATAAGTTTGGATTATGCCATTTCTAAAATCAAGTAATAATAGTATCCTTAGTAATGTTTTGAGTTGGACTTTGTTTCAGAACTGATTAATATAATAAATAATACACTAATCAGATTGTCTTTCTTGTTATTCAATTATTAATAGTTTTACAACTATTGCAACATAATAGGAAGTTACAAGACATTGATAACATCTTTGATCTCCTCTCCCAATCTAACATAAAAAGGAAAAAAGGAAAACTCCGTCCCACCACTGAAAACTGGCACAGAATGAGGCCCCTTCAACTACAAAGCCGTGGATCAGAAACAGTCTCCAAAGGCACCTGAGCTCCAGACCCAGGCCAGACCTCTCCCAAGGAAGATGCAGGCCCAGAGCCCAGGCTGTCTAGTCAGGGAGGCATAGGTCCAAAGACACATCTGTCTGCAGGACAGGTCCCCCAGGCCCCACTTCCTCTTTTATTTCTTAAAGACCTCCAGGTCCAGGCAGCCTACCTGAGCAAATGAGAGGGCATTGAGAAATGGATAGGTGAAGTAAGGGGGGTCAGGGCTGTGTCAGGAGTCAGCTCACCTATGGAACCTCTAAGGACTGTGTGTACATCCCTAAGTGAACCCCTCCAGCTCGGGCCACTGTCCCTAGTACCCTGGTGTTCCTACTTCCCTTAGACTAATCTGGCCTTGCCACCCCACCCCACCTGCCGTTGGTGGGGGACCTGAGTGGCCCTCAAGCAAGCCAGTAAAACATCAGTCTTGTGGAGATAGGTGGCTCCAAGGCTCTGGGCTGTTCTGCAGGGAGCCATGGTCCTGGCAGCCTCCTACCACAGACCCCAGGGCTAGGAGCCCAAACATCCAGGAGGCTAACACTCAGACCCAGGTGCAAAAGCCACTGATGCATTAGGTGAGACTTGGCAGCTGGTTGATCACAAAGCGCCTCCCTATTTCAAGAGTGCCTCTGACCAGTGCTGCCTGACCACAGACCCCAAGCACAAGCCCTCTGACCTGGCAGGGTCACCCAGGTGCCTATCCCATGAGTTAGAACTGACACAATCCCCAGGGCACCTTGGTAGAACTCCTAGTGGCTCACTGCACTGAGTGACCTGGGACAAGACCTCACTTGGCCTCAGTGTCCCCATCTGTAAAAGGAGATGGTGGGTCGCATTCTTAGAAGTTCTTCCCACACTCAGTGAGTCTCCCCAGGAATGCAGAGCCCTCCCTTGGATGGTCCTTGGCTGCCAGCCCAGGCACCCCTCACTCCTTAGCAGTTGGGACAAGGGGGAGAAGGTGGAATAGCCAGTGGCCACACAAACCAGACCTGAGTTGGTGCAGTGGGACCCTCTTTTAATCCCCAGTCCCCTGCTACTGCAACCTCAGTCTACTGGTCACTCAAAACCTTACCCTCACAGGGACATACCTAATAGCAGTATGGGAATTTTCCCCCTAAGGTGACAGATGTTGCGCATGGGAAAACTGACACCCAAAACTGAGAGGAGACTTGGCCAAGACCATTCTGCCTCTTGCCGATAAGAGAAGTGGTATTAGAATCTAGGTTTCCCAAGGGCTTTGAGGAATCTGAGCAGGCAGCAGCACCCCCAGCTCTACATGGGCCCACCACTGGTGGGTATAGGTGGGCTGGTGGGTAGTGCTGGGTATAGGCGGATCATAAGTCAAGATCAGATGTGCCCTTGGAGGAGTCCTTGCCCCAGCAGGTGTGGGGGGCAGCAGAGACAGAGACCTCGGAT